GAGTCTACTGTCTACCGAAATGCTCCTACTCACTGACTTCTCGCGGTGTGGATGTAGCTTACGGAATTGAGAGGACGGGAAGTGGATGTAGATGATATTGTTGATTCATCTAGGGGAGTTGGATTACCCTGATTCCAAACAAATGTTGCGTTGGGCTCCAGCATCCTGAGCGAACAGATGGTGTATGGAGCAGGTGTTGGTCAACTGCCTTGTGGGTCAGACGTTTAGGTCGAAGGCTATGAGTGTGATCCTCTAGGTAAACCACCTGCTTCAATCCTGTCACCTGAGCAGTATCGTAAGCCCCCACACAAATCAGGGGACTTGTGTGGTGTGTATGTATTTGGTGCCTCTATGTAGCAATATTCTTCTGTTCAAATAATAATTTCAATTAGGTGTCAGTGCATTTTAGCGACAAACACTTGAGGAAGTGATATTCACCAACAAAAGAAGATTGCAACTCTGAATATGTGCAATTTGGTTGGAATTCGGAAGACGTATATACTGTTGATAATTTTAGAATTTATGGATTATTCTGTTGACCAGCATTGTTTTCAAACTTCTAGTGATATCAACTCATTTGAAATGTCCCCTCAGTCCATGAATATGAACAACTGCTTAATATTAAGAAATTGATATCAGAAGCTGAAACATACGAATTGGAGAAATGATATTCCATGCATAATTTAGCAACAGTCTAAACTGGAATGAATAAATAAGAATTAAATTAGAAATGAGTGCATGAATCCATGGATAAACGAACTATTCTGGAAATTGTAGGTATAGACTTTTGAAAATTGTTAAATTCCGAATCGATCTAGTTTAGTACACCATCGAAATCCTGGGAGTACTGGATGGCTACTTCGTCCCAGTATGAGATTTAATAGTGCAAACCCATGACCACGTTCAGGAAACGAAAATAGAACTTTCGATCTTGAAAGCGAAAGGTTAACTTCAGACTTCTGTGGTCCAAGATCTGACTCTCTTGAAAGTATTGATGAATATACCATGAATTTTCTCCATGTATTAAACCTGTCGTAAGCCCGTTTGTGCGACGGTCCTAATATGAATCAAAATGCGAATTGATTTGGATGAATTCATTTCAGGCACTCGAATACCCAGATGAACACCAACATGGGAGGTGGGAAAGAGAAGCGGATAATCTATGCATGCCAGCACACCAAACTACTTAAAACAAGCGTTAAGATTGCTCAAAATAGATCATGCGTAGTGTGTTAAAAAGATGGATCGAATGAAATGATGACATATGTATACACAAGTCGCACAAGCGTAGAAACATAAGGACATATTAATAAAATAATTATATAACTTCTTCAGGTCACAATTACATATAAATAGAATAAAGTTATTAGGAATGTAAAAATGATGTAATAGTCACATGCTGTCTAAGTTATTGAGGTATGTCCATATACCAAGATGGATCATGTGAATATGTTATAGTATTGAACGATATGAGACTGTTAAGCCACTATTGAATGATGTTGATGTCCAACATCAATCATTTCGGAAATAAACAATTTTTAATAAGATGTTTAAGGTTATTTAAAGTAGAAATTATATTTCTAAGAATATCAGTGATTGAATTTTAGTTAAATTCAACAAATCTAATCAAGAGACTATTAAAATATCTTTCGATGTAGGTATGGTTAAACTTCAGTTAATAGATAATTATTCAATATATCAATTAACTTGTTCATACTCTTCAATTACTAAATGGCAATGAAGCAAGTCATTCTTTTCAAGGTGATGTTGACAAGTTATATGTAACTCATATTAATATTGTTTATCTATGTACTACATTTTAAGCTAATGTATCTACAGTAACCAACATCATCTCATTCATTCATTGAGTTCCGTTTTAATTGTATATTTCAGAATACCATGAACATAACTGAATGTAAATGGTGATTATTCGCACCATCTACAAACTGGTACCTGTAAATACAAAAAAGTTAGTTTTTTCGTTCAAGTTAATTTATTCTAAAAAAAACATTGCAGTTGGTAAATCGTTAGCCTTCTGATTGTGGTCATACATGTTATAACTTGTGACCTGTGTGTCCTGTTTGTTGTATAACGTAACGATACTGCCAATCAGAGAGAAGTGAATTATCGATGGAACGAGTGACTCATCAAACCCGTACGTGCAGTCTAGATTCCATATTGGTCCTGTTTCCACCTAGCCCAGCCAGTTAAGTCAAGAATACCAATCTCAGCATCTGCAATATGAATTATTATATTTCAAACATACTGAGTTTATATACCAATCAAACAGACCACATCGTATCATAAAATATGAAACAACATTTGTACAAGTATTAACCAAATGTGGCTGTGAATGTGCGATGTAGTAATTAATTGACTCAACAATGGTATATCGTATAATAATAGTTCATAGGTAAAAGTAAAGCTTACAATAAGAATACATATTTAGGATTTAGAATAAAACGTAATTTGAAATGAGACAATTTAGTTTTTTTTTTCATCCGCCTGACATTTATTAATTTCAATTACGCGAATTTTATAAGGTAGTATTAAACTGGATGGGCACTGTTTTCAAAACTAATATTCACACGGGTAAACAGTAAAAAATTAGCTTTTACACTAAAGGAAATTGTTAAGAATAAGGATGTATATCAGTCAGTCAGCTACAACGTAGGACCAGGCACATATATGCATCGGTCCAGGTTGCCATACCTAATTAGCACAGCAAGATGAACACCGGATTCATAGGAGTGGTTAGCTTAAAGGTGGTAATATATAGGAGAAAGATTGCAATAAGGATATAGTATAGGAAGAAAGAATTAGTTAGGAGAAAGAAAGATATAAAGCGATTTTAATCTCTTAGTTTAAGGGAAGACAGGGAGTGTATGCACCGACGCCATTGTGATCGATTCTGAGACGTATCACCAAGAGTCTCCAACCATCGGTTACGAAAGTCACGCGGACCCCAACCAAGTAGTCAGCATCTAACAACATGGCTCAGACTAGAGGTTATTGTCTTCAAGCACTGATGCCACGTTTTGGTTTGGCCGCCCCTAATTCTCTTCCAACAATCTCCAACACCGGTTAGCATTGCACGGCGTGGTAATCGGTGTTCAGGCATACGTAACACGTGGCCCAACCATCTCAGTCGATGAAGGATGTATATAAATATTACAAACTAATTTCCCGAGTTAATAGCGGGTATATTCGATCGAAGATTTCGATAAAAACGCCAATCAGTGGACTATCCACAACTCCATGACATACCTAATCATATGGCGCCACTCAGAATCATATATGCTAAAATGTCTGGCGAATGTTTAATTACAAAATTTAAGTGTTGTGATTTTATTTCAGAAAAAAAATCTACACCCACAAGTTGAATCTGGTATGGATTTTTATCATGTGATTATGTTTTAAACTAATATATTCCAAGTCAAATTAATATTCTGGCTATCAATCACAGTCAAATTGACTCGGCAATTATATTACATTTTTGTCCAACTTCAAAAGAATAGCTTTAGAGTAGTTGGGCTTCGGATTCATTTAAAACAATAGGGAGGAAATATTTTCTTAAAAAGCTTGAACTAGAGTGCCAAGTGAAATGTTGAATTTACCTAAAATTCAATCACTGATATTCTTAGAAATATAATTTCTACTTTAAATAACCTTAAACATCTTATTAAAAATTGTTTATTTCCGAAATGATTGATGTTGGACATCAACATCATTCAATAGTGGCTTAACAGTCTCATATCGTTCAATACTATAACATATTCACATGATCCATCTTGGTATATGGACATACCTCAATAACTTAGACAGCATGTGACTATTACATCATTTTTACATTCCTAATAACTTTATTCTATTTATATGTAATTGTGACCTGAAGAAGTTATATAATTATTTTATTAATATGTCCTTATGTTTCTACGCTTGTGCGACTTGTGTATACATATGTCATCATTTCATTCGATCCATCTTTTTAACACACTACGCATGATCTATTTTGAGCAATCTTAACGCTTGTTTTAAGTAGTTTGGTGTGCTGGCATGCATAGATTATCCGCTTCTCTTTTCCACCTCCCATGTTGGTGTTTATCTGGGTATTCAAGTGCCTGAAATGAATTCATCCAAATCAATTCGCATTTTGATTCATATTAGAACCGTCGCACAAACGGGCTTACGATAGGTTTAATACATGGAGATTAATAGAAAATTCATGGTATATTCGTTAATACTGTCAAGAGTCGGATCTTGGACCACAGGAGTCGAAAGTTCTACTTTCGTTTCCTGAGCATGTGGTTATGGGTTTGCACTATTGAATCTCATACTGGGACGAAGTAGCCATCCAGGACTCCCAGGATTTCGATGGTGTACTAAACTAGATCAATCCCGAAATCAACAATTTTAAAAATTCTATACCTACAATTTTCAGAATAGTCTGTTTATCCATGGATTCATGCACTAATTTCAAATTTCATTCTTATTTATTGTAGTTTAGGCTGTTGCTCAATTATGCATAGAATATCATTTCCGCAATACGTGTTTCAGCTTTTGATAACAATTTCTTAATACACCATCTGTTCGCTCAGGATGCTGGAGCCCAACGCAACATTTGTTTGGAATCAGGGTAATCCAACTCCCCTAGATGGATCAACAATATCATCTACATCCACTTCCGTCCTCTCAATTCCGTAAGCAACATCCACACCGCGAGAAGTCAGTGAGTAGGAGCATTTCGGGAGACAGTAGACTCTACATCCTCGACCGTACCTGGGTATTCCAAGGCTAATTGAATGCTCATTCCCAATTTCTCCACTGACAATGTAATCATAGAAGTATTACATTCCCGCCATTATAAACTCACGAAGATATGGGTAGCACAACACTCATCGTTCACAAACACAAAACACAGCCTAACCATACAGTTAAAACACAAAGACAAATCACAATGTGGTGGTCCTTAATAGGACCGTGATACGTTCTCGTGTGGACCAGTTGCAGGTCGCTAATTGTTCACATGCTAGTGAATTAACCACCGAAACCGTACAAAGTACGACCTTGGCGTTTCAAAGCGTACACCACGTCCATAGCTGTCACTGTCTTCCTCTTGGCGTGCTCTGTGTAGGTGACTGCATCACGGATCACGTTCTCCAGAAACACCTTCAGAACACCACGAGTCTCCTCGTAGATCAATCCAGAAATGCGTTTCACACCACCACGACGAGCCAGACGACGGATTGCAGGTTTTGTGATGCCCTGGATGTTGTCACGCAACACCTTGCGATGTCTCTTGGCTCCTCCTTTGCCCAAACCCTTACCACCTTTACCACGACCAGACATGATTCACAGAGATAGATACACTGACTCGCAGACCGACACGAGACGATCCCATTTTAGCCACATATCTCTGCCTAGTCCACTTGAATCCTTAGAAAAATAAGCCATTATTCAACCAATCACATTTCTCGCACTGATAAGTTAGGTCAGCAATGAGTGGTTGATTTTTTTCATATACAAGCATACATATCCATGCCTATGATATAAACAGACACAACCGAGGTCATTTGTCAGCTGTTAGTGAGAAACGACAGAATTGGTTAGTCCTAGACTGAGAAAGAAGGTCAACTATTCATTGAAATTTGCCTTCTGGTCCACCAACAATAAATTAAAATACATTTCCTAACCCGACACTATTCAATTATTTTCTCACTTTCTCCCTCCGTAATTCTGAACAATTCACAAGGAGGACTATTTGCTAAATGGAATAAATTGGTCAAAATTCACCATATCTTTGTTTGAATGTTGAATATTTATGGAAAAATTAGGGAACCGAACAAATGAATTAAGAATATAAATTCATATATCAAAAATACAAGTCGTATTAACTTAATTCATATAAATTTCTTACACAATGTTGTTATCATTGCTTGTGTGTGTTATGGAGGGTAAATGATATCCACTCCTCTATTCCTCCCTAGAACACGTACACTCTAGAGAATTAGGCCTTACACAACATTATTCAATTTAGATCTCATGCAAATGTTCAGGTGTGTGATAAAACTATTCTGAACAAGTTTATGAGTGGTAAGCTCATTACTGGTGAGTGGTTTTGCAATTGAAAAATCTGATAAAATTATTGATATTAGTGATTACTAATGGGGAAATAATGACTGAATCGTAAGTGTGAATCTATAAGTTGCTTTTCTAAAAATATGAACAATGGACAGGTGAGATTAGAATTGACTATCTGGTTATACTAATCGTTTATGGAAATACTAATATATGTGTTGTCGACTTTATACATTTTCACCCATACGTTACGACGGGAGGTGGGTTGTCGGAAGAGAAACCCGGATATAAGTTCTACTCAAAGTGGTAATCGCCAGTATAGTGTACTCGTAACAATGTGTGAATTGATGCTTCGTACTGTATTCGTGTCTGAGTTGTCCAGTATCATCAGATACGTAATCTGTTCGGCGGCTGCTAACCTGTAAATATGAGATATTTGCAATGGAATGATCAACGAGGAGTGAATAATTTTATATATTTAGTCCGTTAGTAATGTCATCTTATGTCAAATTATCTTAATGACCATCTATTCTTTTGGGCAAATATAACAAGAAAACGTTCATTGAATAAAGCAGATAGAATATTGAGGAATTTAGAAAGCTAAGCATCAGTAACAATAATATACAACAAACAACACGAAATTGAATCTGAGAATCAATGCAAGGAATGGTAAGAGAAATTTATAATAAGACAGGTTTATGATGATGTGTCAATTCAAGAAGAAACATTGTTAAAAGAGTGGAAGTGCAATAAGGTGTTTTCACTGAACGATCTTTGCTTCTGTTACAATTCTATCCAGTTACTTGACTGACAATGATGATTCACTTTACGATCGTTGCTACACGTTGATTGTGACCTAACAAGAGTCGGATGGTAATAACAATTATGATAGTAGAAGTAGATATGATTTGTTAGGATGTTAATCTCCTGATCTCATTTACACTAATGGTATATTCCAGAAAGAAAATAACTACTTCCACATTTCATCAATCACAATGATATATGGTGCAGCATCAATGCAATGCGTGTTGTGTAGTGTTATGCGTAACGTAACGTAACGCGACGTAACATAATATTTGTCATGGGTATTGACGTAATGTGTGAAATGTATGGTTGGCTACACTGTGGATTGTTGGTGAAACGATGATGTTGATATTTTGTTATGTGAAATGGCGTCATGTTTAGACATGAGGATGAGGAGACATGACCGGAAGGTGGTGATATTTGTTCTCTGTGTGCGTGTGCCTGTGTGTATTGAGTGTATGGAGGAAGGAATGTAGGTGTAGGTTGGGTGTTGGAAGAGAATGGATTGACGCCTCTCAGATGTATTGTGTGTGAGTGAGGGATAGTTTTTTGGTGAGATGAAATATGAGTGTGTTGTGTTGTGTAGTTATGCGGTAGTTTAGTGGGGTTTGGTGAGTGCTCGCTTCACTCCCCTACACTTAGATCACTCTGTGAACACTACCAGCTGACCAGTGAATGGTGTGGTAGGTCGTGATGCAGGATTTTCGCACCATCCACTCCACTTAACCCTATTCACTGATCTCCAATAACAAGTCGCTTGTTCTTCCTTCCCAATCTTCTTGAATTATACAATCCGGACAGTTCGGGCAGGAACTATTAATAACACCTAATATTTCGATGTGTTTTAGTCCATTGTACAGTACATACGTTATTTACGAAAGTCGCACCGAGTCAATCATCGATGATTCCTCCATGTTTTTAAAAGTGAGTTATGTGCTTTTTATCGTAGAGTAGTGGTCACGTTCTCTTAGGGTTAATATACAAAAACAACAAATTTTATTGATTATACTCTGCGCGGAAGCTTTTGCTCACGCATATCTTTAAAGAATGGTCAGCTTCCAAATGTCTTGGTATGACCGAGGGTTGAGGGAGTCCACTCTGCCCTTCGAAATGCTCTCATGTAACCACGCATATATAACCACTACCATGGGAGTCTTACCCACGGACTCCTCGTGGCCGGGGTGTTGTTTACGAGATTGAGAGGATGAGAAGCAAATGTTCGGCGCTTAAATCTGGTCGGTGACTATGGGGCATCCATCCTGATTCCAGCTCAATGGTGCACATGGGCTCCAGGATCCTGAGGGAATAAATGGTGTAGGAACCTATTATTGGTCACTGACTACCATGGAATGTGATCTACTGACGCTGCTCTACTGCCGTGTGGATTATACACCTGGGTTAAATGCTTGGGGGATGGTCCCCCTAAAAACACAACTGTTTTGGTTCGGGTACCCTGGGAGTATCCCAGCTCATAAGCAAGTTAGATGATTTGTGTGGTACATATATATTTTGTTGCCCGTTTGTGCTGATTTTCATGGGTTTAAATAAATAATGATCAGTCATAAAGCATACCACGAATTCCAATCTGTAATCATAAATCGTATTGTATGCAACTCACGTTTAGACGTTCCATACCTAAAGAAATGTTACTAGTGAGTGAGGTTACGCCAGTGAATTCAATGAATCTTAAATGCAGGAAGACCATAACGTATACCTTTTACGGTTCCCATAGGTATACTGAGATGTGAAGATAAATTACCTAGATTTGTCATCATTTTTCTCATCTTTTTATTAAAGACGTTCTGTTGAGCAACATACATTGGTAAATGTTGTTTAATTTTTCCCTGCTCGTGTACAATTTTTAGTGTGATTTTTCGAAATTGTAGTTAAACGAATCAGCCAACAGCTTTGCTGTTTGGTTCAAACAGCCAATATCAATCAATCGATCAATCATTTTCATGAGTTTATTGGGTTAATGAATTCCTACTGAAATCTCTCAGTCTCAGAGTCCTTCGAATAGTAAAAGCAATAGCTATTCGGATCTATATGTAACATAGAAATGGGTTCAACCACTTTCTTAAATTTGCACAACCTCAGAGCCAATAATTATAAAATGATCTAGGTTTATTAATGTATATGTAACCTTCCCCTTCGTGTTGGGATAACTTCGAGTTATGTTAAATGTAAAAATTGTGATTGAATAATCTCAATGATTCAAACTAAAATAATCCTATCGATTTGTCCGTCATACCAATCCGAAATGTTTCATTAAGGAATACGATCTAAATCAACATTATCAAAGAAAATATGTGGTTCAAAAGAAAAAAATCATACGAAAACATTGTCCAATCATGTTCGTCTGGTTTACAGTGAGGTCAAGGGACAATTTGATGTGGAAAATTGTCCACCATTTAAAAAATGTGTGTGTGTGTGTTCATGTATCTATATGTTATTGTTACTAGAAAAGACTGAGTAATTGATGTCTTTGTCTATGTTCAAGGCCGATTGATTGTTTCTGTTTAGTATAAATGTGAAAGCACATATAACTAACATCAACCATTCCACGTATACATAGTTTCAGATGATTAACATATTTAATTGTAGTGGTAGAATTAACTTAGATTAATATGAATCATATATGAGTCAAGATCATAGAAAACTAAATACGCATCGATTACTATCGGTATCAATCTCCAGGTAGTACATGTTAAAGATCATGTTTTTATTTTTATTTATTTTATTCTAATCCACAATTACCATGACATAACTATTGTATTCCATATATTAGTGTTTGTTTATAAGCAATAGATGAAATGTCGGCATTATTTAAATTGCAATTGATGAAATCACTTCAATTACATATTTTTACATTTTGTAAACAGATAAAGCATTTAATTGGTACTTGACCACTAGTGTTTTTGTTCTTTACTTAATTCATATCATTTTCAATATGATGTGATCTTTGATAAATATGTGATTCAATCTGTTATTCTAAATCTCTTATACTATAATTATCTTTTCTGATCAATGTAAGTATAAAATTATTCAAGTTAACATGATGCACTAGGAATTTTGATATGAACTCTTTATTTTCTTATTAAGAAATCTTAATTTATATGTTGTAATTAGAACGAAATGACTAGTGACTGGCTTCGATAAGTATTTTGTGGAGTCTTGATGAGAAGCAGTGACCAGTGGAGTTCAACTGTGTCAGTGGTGAGATAATAACTCACTGAAAACAATTGTGGATGTGTCACTCAACTTCGTGGATTAGTTGAAATTACACATTAACACCATTAGATGTCGGCTCAGTGGTCTAGAGGATCGAGTGATCGACAGATCCTAGGTTCGATATTCCGCGAGGCCGGATCGTGGATGTGTAGTGGTGAGGAGTTCCACAATAAGATGAAATGACCGTCCAGAGCTTCCAGGTTTTCCATCGTGGTCTAACTTCAATTGACTCATGATCTCAGCGATTGGAATTATGAAATCATTTGTTGTCTTGACTACATGTTTGTTTAGTCACACTGAAATGTGTTCACGAGCACGGAAATGTAAATTCTCAGAAATTTGATCAATATAACTGGTTTCACAGCAGTAGTTGAATTGATCAATACAAAATGAGATGGCTATTCTAGATGATTGGACTTCTAACCTCGACGTAGTTATTGGTCATGTGAAGTAGACTAGTTTTAATTTTCGGGTGTTAGATGCTCTTCTGATTGTTTGATGTAATCTCTGAATTATTATATCACTGAGTGTATAAGCTGGGTATTGTAGGGGACATTAATACAGCTCATTGTGTATTAATCATGTAATGTATTACTTAAATATTCACTGGTGGCACACTGCTTTCATACATGATTTCAAATGATGTAGCAAAATATATAAATGTGTAAAATGACTTCGTAGTAGCCTTTATCTGGTATCATGCAAATTCATTTGTCTTAGTAAATAAAACAGAAGGTAGTAACAGAAAGAGCCACCTAAATTCATTTGGAACCATTTCATGTAACCCAGCAATGTTCAATAGACTCTCGATCAAACATTGTTTTTGGATTTGTTTCCCACTGTCTACATCGTTCACCGTTTATCTACATATGAAGCTACACTGTTATTCAGTAGTCTTAATTTTACAGACTGAAATCATGAGTCAATTGATCTAAAGTGGAACAACATGTCGTCCATATATCGACAGCTGAATGGGAATTTCTGAATAAACTGATGAAATAGACTGTGTCCTAGTTTGGCTAGGAAGGTGCCAGCTTGTATGAGACCTAATAACGAACCCACTAAAACTCCTTTCATTGGTGCATTGATTTCACCGTCAAACCTGATTTTCAAATTCACGGTTCTTTGATTACTATTTGGTTATATATATAAGGTAGATTTCCGTTAACAATGAAATCCATGTCACGCGATTCACGCAATCTAGGACTTGTCATTTGCATTTATGCATATTCAAATGTTTGTGTTCACATAGAGATTCGAAGTTAACACATTTCAAAACATACAATAACAGGTAACCCACGAAGCTATTGAGACCGGATAAGCATTAACTTATTATTTCTAATAAAGATATAAAATATTTGATCAATTTAATAATTCATATTCACACATCTCCAATATCTATAGCTCTATTTGACAATTATAAGACAATAGTTTTCAACATCGTAATCGGTTACCAGATACTAAATTAATTTATTGAGAGAGTAACCTCTTGAGTGATGTCAACTAGATGTTTTAAGAAATATCCCACCATGTGTATAATTCGCAAATGAACCTGCATCCCTTTTAGGGGTACTGCTGGTCGCAAGCCCAGATGAAGGAAGAGGGTTGAACATACGGTCAGAAACCATATCCCATAGATAACAACCATGTTAAAAAATTGCCAACCAGATTAAACAAATTAAACCATTTAAACTCTGCCCTGGGATTTGAAAGAAGATTTATGATGTTTAAGGATGAAAATCGAGATCCTTTGGTAGCCTTGAGGTCGTTAACCATTTTAACAACCAGGGCAACAATTAATATAGGTACATGGAGTATCTGGACAGTGTGGGGAACTGGGAGAACTAGTCAAATAACTGAGGAAATGAGGAGATACGACTTGGCAGTGCCCGGAATCGAACCGATTAAACCCAAGCTGGACAGCAAAGATTAGGTACAGGAGAGATGCTGCTGTACTCTTGTCTTGGAGAGGAAAGTGCTCCGCACATACAGGGAGCTACACTGATGCTGCCCAATGAAGTACAAAATGCATTAATAGAGTGGTAAGTAAGTAAGTAGGTAAGCAAGATCCTCATGTACAACACGGAGAACACCAACCAACCCAATAACACATGTTGGTTAAACGCTAGAAGAGGAGAAGACGTTCACTTACCTGGACAGCACCATCGATAAACAAGGAGAATCTGATGCAGACGTAAAGGCGAGGATTGACAAAGCAAGAACAGCATTCCTACAGTTTGAGAACATATAGAACTCAAAACAACTCTCAACCAAAATCGAAGTCAGAATCTTCAATGCGAATGTCAAGATAGTCTTACTATATGGCGCTAAAACTTGGAGAACTATCACAACGATCATCAAACAAGTACATATATTTATAAACAATTGTCTACGTAAGATACTCAATGTCCGTTGACCGGAAACCATCGGCAACACACTATTATGGAAGAGAATAAATTACCTTCCAGATGAATAGGAAATTAGGGAAAGATGCTGGAGATGGATAGGACATTCACTGAGGAAATCACCAAACTATCAAGTCATTAATAATAATAATAATAATAATAATAATAATAATAATAATAATAATAATAATAATAATAATAATAATAATAATGACAATATTAATGATGGCAGCAATAATAGTAGTAATGATAATAAATTGGATCACGAAGCAAGTCATAACTTGGAATCCTTAAGGTAAAGGAAAAAGAGGCTGATCGGAAAATAAATTAAGTCGGGAATCGGAGGTAGAAATTAAAAGATGAACAGTACTTGGAAACAACTAGAAAGGAGAGTTTAGGATAGAGTAAGTCGGAAGCTCATTCTCGACGAGGAGTAACATGCCTAAGTGTTAAATATGTGAAGTGTAAATGTAAACCTTCAAGTGAGCTTTTATTTCCGCTGAAGATAGAAATTCATATAATATTCAAACTAAGAGATAGAAAGATAAAAAAAGTGTTGTAGTGTCAGTTATTATGGCAAGCCCATGTACCTTATTCTAACTTGTGGACATCCTATTTAATTCATTTTACTTGAGCCATATTTTGACCTTATCAATTATTCGCTTGTCAGTCTTGATTGTTTTTATATGTGTGTACACTTCATGTCCCATGACTCATCACATGCCTGTTGTTTATTTTGTCTGCCTATAAATATTGAGTAATGCCTGGCTTGAAATGGAGTTGGCTTCTCAGCCATCTTCCCCGCGCATCATTTTGCTCTGTTCTATCACATTCGCTTTACATACGAAATATATGTATTCAACATCCCATTCTCGTTATTTGACTTATTTAATTCCGTTATTGGATAACGTGATTTAAGTCGATGATTATATACGAGAATAGGCGATAGCAATCATTTATACGATCTAAATTGGAGTCAGATCCACGGGCCACAAAAGTGTTAATAATAATATGACCAAATATATTCATTCCTTTTTTCAAAAATATATTTTAAACACTCATGTACAATGATTATCTGCCTTATAATCAAACAAAGAATTAGTTTTCAACTACTTTATTGAATTAAAATTCATTACAATAATGTTCTTCTTCTTCTTCTTCATTGAATATTGAGATTTTTTTTTCAGCTATGATAAATGTTTATTCTTGTCTGTCCATTGATAAACGCATATCTAAACGCTTGTTTAAACGCTTGACATCTAAATAGATGAAACAAAAAGATTAAATAAATATAATGAATTGTTTTTTTCAAAAGAATACGTACAAATTTTTAAAACTTCCGCTATTTTTTCACCTAAATCATCTTCTTCAAGATATTTTCGAATTTTCTCTTGACATTTCTGTTCAAATCTTTTCCAAAATTCTTTCATTGAATTCCATAATTTGACACTTTCAATAATCTATCAATATGATCATTAATGATAATGATTGATTATTTTACAATTAACTTACTAATTCCTGTTGACTAGATTTGGATCTAGAAAGAAAAACAAAAGAAAGAAATTCAAAAGCATATGAGATTAGAGACAATGAAAAATCTTTTTGTATATGAACTCTTTAATGAAGCCATGATTTCTATTTACCATAGTGATTATTATTATTTCCAAGCTAATTCTAATTTGTTATGTACTATATAAATAGGTTTTGACCTAATCAGTCATTTCATTATGCTACCATAACTGATGAGATAATTAATTTTGAATAAACTTTACCTATTCACCAAATAAATTCTGTATATAATTTATATGCTCTATTTACTGTTTTACTGTCTAGATTTTTCCATCTGTGTTGAATATTGATCATCTACGCAGACGTAAAGGCAAGGATTGGCAAAGCAAGGGTCGCATTCCTACAATTGAACAACATATGGAACTCAAAACAACTTTCAACCAATATCAAAGTGAGAATCTTCAATACGAACGTCAAGACAGTTCTACTGTATGGGGCTGAAACTTGGAGAACAACTACAACAATCATCAAGAAGGTACAAGTATTTATAAATAGCTGTCTTCGCAAGATATTCAACATCCATTAGCCGGATACGATGAGCAACAGCCTTCTGTGGGAGAGAACAAATCAGCTCCCAGCTGAAGAAGAAATTAGAAAAAGACGATGGAAATGGATAGGACATACATTACGCAAATCATCAAACTGTATCACGAGACAAGCCCTAACTTGGAATCCTGAAGGAAAGCGGAAAGGAAGAAGGCCTAAGAACACATTGCGTCGGATAATAGAAGCAGATATGAAAAGGATGAATAGGAACTGGAAGGAGCTGGAAAGGATTGTCCAGGACAGGGTTGGATGGAGAATGCTGGTGAGCGGTCTATGCTCCTTCACGAGGAGTAAAAGGCGTAAGTAAGTAAGTAATGTTTAGATCCTGCATTTTTTATAACTATATTTTGATTTACTATTTGATTGGTAGTTTTAAATCATTAAAAAACAAGTTAGATGGTACTGAAGTTTAACCCAACTATAAAGAGTTATCACTAAACTTCGTTTTGACTATTCTTCAATCTGTATGTTGATTCTTCTTGGTATTTATTCGACTGCTGTTGTAAATTCCACAAATCTCCTAACTGGAGATATCATAGTTATGTACTATTAATTTATTATTCTAATTATATTTGTACTTACGGTGTTCATTCTTATTGGAGCTTATTTTGAATGATTTTAAAGATACCAGTTGTAGAGTCCAGTAGTGTTTAGCCTTCTTTATTATTATAAGAACTAAGGCCGTTGACTAATATTATTATTATTATTATTTATTTTAACACATAGATATTGGTACAAGGAGGCACCAAATACATATGCGCCACACAAATCTCATTTGACATGTGTGAGGGCTGTGATACTACCCGGGTGCCCAAACCGAAGCAGGTGGTTTTCTTAGGGGGCCACACCCCGAGCCTTTGACCTGAAGGTCTGATCCACAAGGCAGTGGAGCATCGTAAGGAGATACAGTCCCATGGAAGCCGGTGACCAACAATTGGTTCATACGCCATTTGTTCCAGCAAGATTCTGGAGCCCATGTACACCATTGGTTTTTAATCCAGTTAAAGCGCCGGACATTCACTTTTCGTCCTCTCGTTTTCGTAAATAATACCCCCGCCACAAGAAGGCAGTGAGTAGGACTTCTCTGGCAGAGGCTATATGCGCGTGGCCATGTGAGGGCTTTTCGAGAGGGAGAGCGGACTCTCCCCACTCTCGGCCGTACCAGGGCGTTTGGGGGTGACTAATATTCTTAATGAGTTTATAAATAAGACTAATTACCGGTCAAATGCTCTATGATTATTATTATTACTTATCCAACTAATATCCATTTATCATAAAATGAAACTATCTTGGAAGTTATCAGTGGTTTAAATAAATTAACCTAAAAGAATGAATCTATAACTAATATTAGATCATTTTTTATTGGATCCAACATAGGTAAGGTTTATACTGAATGATAATAGTATAACTAATAAGGGGATATTTAGTTTAGTTGGTTGTAGATATACTTCATTTTCAATCTTCTTTGATAAACGACTAGTTTTTTTATCGTATCTAATATGATGTAGTTTTTGATCTTTTGTTAGCAGAGGTAAAAATTACATAGTGAAAGTGTTAGATCTAATCCATTTTATTCTTTGTATAAACTTTAGGTTTTCCAGTAACAAGGTTTATTTCCAGTGATACGAATGACTAAAAAAAATTCCGTTTGTTAATTAAGTCATATTATTTGGTGGTTACCGAATTTCCTGTTTATTAATGGGCTACTTTACAGATTATTTTTCCTAATATAGTTATCTTCTAATATTAGTAGTTTATGATAAACCAAAAAAAGATCTAATCTTTAACTGACTAATATCGATGAAAGAACCACTGAAAGTCAGTGAGTACGATTAAGGTCACCCACAACTTTTTTCAATGTTCGATGAGTCCGTTTTACTCAACGATTCCGGATATTTTGCACGTCATTTATTGAATGTGTGCTGAATATTAAAGTGTAGCTTTCATTAAAAATTCCGTTTCCAACAATGAGTTTCTACATATTTGTGCATTTTATCTTGAATCGTGAATCGCGCGATATTATTTTGTTCATCAGATCATGCTCTAGTGCGAGCGCGTATTTGCTTGCGTCTTACTGGACGTAGGAAAGACGCTGCAAGTAAACCTCTTAGGGGCCTACTTAATGATAGTCAAGCTAAGAGTATATTTCAGGAACAACTAGGAAAACAGTTAGACAGCCATGTATGTGATGCCCACCCCGATGCAGCATGGAATGATATCCGAAAAGCTGTGGAAACAGCAGTGATATCTGCTAGTAAGGTAAATCAGAAGGTTAGGGAGCAACACTGGATCTCAGCAGCATCTATCGCACTGATAGATGCTCGGAAACTCATTCCACCTGGCTCTGAACATAGTGAAGAGCGGAGTCAGCTTAAGCGCAAGCTGACAAGAAGTCTACGCAATGATCGCGAACAGTGGTGGGTAGCGAAAGCAAGAGAGATGGAAAAGACAGCGGCAATAGGTAATAGCAGACAATTGTTCAGACTCGTTAAGGAAACCGGAATTAGGAACCCGACCGTTAGCGAAACAATCTCAGAGAAAGATGGACATATTATTCATTCTCAATCCAGGAGATTGGATCGATGGGCAGAACACTTCAGGGATCATTTCAACTGGCCTTCAGCCACACTTCGGTTTCCCACGATCCCCAGTCAACCTGAATGGCAAGTTAATTTAGGTCCTCCGTCTCTTTATGAAGTTGAAAAAGCCATAGGAAATCTGAAACGAGGGAGAGCAGCAGGCCCTGACAGGTTTACTCCTGAGATTTTTAAGAATGGTGGTCCAGTATTAGCAATGAGATTAACCGAGGTCTTAGGTAGAATTTGGGAACTGGACGTAATCCCACCTGACTGGTCTCAATCACTGATTGTGCCAGTCTATAAGAAAGGACAAAAGTCCTCTTGTGACAATCACAGAGGAATCAGTTTGACTAATATAGTGTCTAAAATATTAGCCTCAATAATACTTCGACGCCTAATCAAAGCTCGTGAAGAGCAGATTAGAGAAAACCAGGCCGGTTTTCGACCTGGACGTGGTTGTATAGATCAGATATTCACACTACGTCAGGTTCTAGAACACAGACACATATTCAGACGCCCCACAATGGTAGTATTTCTCGATCTTAAGGCGGCATTCGACTCTGTTGACCGTGAGGTTCTATGGCAGTGTTTGTCACTGAAAGGAGTACCAAAGATGTACATTAACCTTACTCAATCTCTCTACTCGAACACAACTGGTCGAGTGAGAGCTTATGGCGAACTGTCATCAGAATTGATTACATCAAGTGGTGTTCGTCAGGGCTGTCCACTTTCCCCATTCTTGTTCAACTTTGTGGTCGACGTACTTTTAGAGATAACACTCTCCTCATCTAAATTTCCGGGGGTTGAACTTCTACCGGGAGGTTCACTTGTTGACTTAGAATATGCAGATGACATATTTTTATTTGGTGAAGACGCTGACAAAATGCAGAGTCTTCTGACCACTCTAAGAAACAATGCAAGCATGTTCGGGATGCGATTCTCTCCCTCGAAATGCAAAATGTTGCTTCAGGATTGGGTTACATCGACACCCGAACTAGTGATAGGGAGTGAAGTAGTTGAGTGTGTCGACCGCTTCACTTATCTTGGAAGTCTCATTAGCCCTTGTGGTGTAGTGTGTGACGAAATCTCAGCACGGATACAGAAGGCTCGACTAGCTTTTGCCAACTTGCGTCATTTATGGCGTAGGCGAGATATCCGTCTACCAACCAAAGGACGTGTTTACTGCGCAGCAGTTCGTTCCGTCCTACTTTATGGCAGTGAAACATGGCCGGTAAGAGTAAAGGATATTCGTAGGTTACTAGTATTTGATCATAGGTGTCTTCGAAATATTGCTCGTATATCCTGGGACCACCGAGTAAGTAACGCAGCTGTTAGGAAACGGGTACTAGGTAAGGATGGCAAATCAATTGATGATGTAGTGAAACTTCATCAGTTGAGATGGCTGGGACACGTGTTACGTATGCCCAACCACCGACTACCTCGACGTGCTATATTCAGTGGTATAGGAGTAGGTTGGAAGAAAGCTAGGGGCGGCCAAACCAAAACATGGCACAAATCCATGAAGTCACTGACAAGTGGACTGAGTCATGTTGGTAGGTGTAGACTACCTGGTTGGGGACCGCGAGATGGTAGCAACCGATAGTTAGAGACCCTAAATGACATGGCTCAAAATCGTTTGCAATGGCGCAGGTGCATCCACTCTCTATGTTCTCCCAAATTCTAATCTTCTGAATTCTTCATGTCCCTTTTTTTCCTCTTTCCAAATTTATTTCACTGGATTATACTCCTTGAATAACATCTTCAAACACTAATCTTCCCGATTACTGCTTATACTCTTGCTACCTCTACCACTACGGGATTTGAATCGACCACTGCATCTCTGTGCTAATGTGGTATGGCAACTCGAACTGATGTACGTACGTACTAAGTTCTACGTTGTTACTGACTGACTGACTGATCTTGTTCATCACAGACGGCTGTAGATAAATCTATGTACTTGAAATGAAATCTTTAGTGAAGATTACGGTCCAATATTCATCACTCACTTCTCACATAAACAAAAATATAACTGAAATTTATGAATAAAAACACTTGTTGAACACTGAGAACGTTGAGAATAGGCTCAACTGTTAGTACTGTGTGCGTTTTTTTATACATAACAATGTAGAAGAGTTAGAACTCAAAATATCTTGAGTACTGGATTGTGAAGTTAATGGATATATACCTACTGAACAAGCTCCAATCAATGAAACCGTCTATTATTATAATTGGTTACTATCTATCCTCATTACTTGATAGGTTGTTCATAACTAATGTTTTTTTTTTCATTTTTGTTATGAAGATTCACTTGTCGAAATGATCATTAACGTACACAAAATAACAAATTTAAACTACTGTCTATTTAATTAACATTTTAATCAGTAAGCTGTTCATATAGTATACTATTACAGCTTACGATTTTGCAGTGTTTCCTGAAAATATAAAGCAATCAGAGCACAAGTGGAGGGAGATAGTTATTTATACAGTTTCAGTAATACCGTTTTCGTAAGTTCACAAAAACATAATATGATTATTCAGGGGAAATATTTTACAATAAACTTTGTTGTTGGTGGATAATTTAATACTTTTTCTCGACTCTCATTTAGAGCCAGAAATGAAATAAAAGATTTCATTGAAAAAACCATCTCTTGAATTACAGTTCAAAGGCGATATAATCAATAAAATATGATGTAAGTTTTATCCTTCTTTCTGTAGCCAACCAGTAGTGAGTTTACTTAAGAAAGATTGAGCTGTTCAGCGACTTTTATTTTTATTTACCAGTTCAACTGGTACGACGGAACCAGTTATATTTGACGTACAAGCCAAATGCTTGGTTGTATTTCTGAAAATCATCACTCATAGTTGACTAATGGACAAAAAGAAATAACTAAAAACCTCTACACTGTCCCTATTTAGTTAATAGTAGTCATCATATCTGCATAAATTTGGCTTCCGTAGTAATTTATAAAATTACCTCGAAATGACCTACTCTTTAACAATTCATCTCTTACGACAGAATTCATGGGAATATATATTAATATGAGTGGATTGGTTGAAGTTAGACATTAACACCGTTGGATGCCGACTCAGTTGTCTAGTGGGTTAAGCACCTGGTGCGAGACTAATAGGTCCTGGGTTCTAATCCCGCGGGGTGCGGGACCGTGGATGAGCACTGCTGATGGGTACCACAGTGGGACGAAACGGCCGTCCAGTGCTTCCAGGCTTTTCATGGTGATCTAGCTTCAATTGACTCATGATGTCAACAAGTGAAATATATCAATAAGCCTAATCATTTTATACAAACCCTTAACTTCAGTTTTACGTTCTAATTTTAGTCTTAGTTACGTAATGTCTTAATAATATGATTATTATACTTTCTATGCATTCATATGATTAACTGCTTATTATTGATTTTGTATATCATACTAAATATCTATAGCCTATAGCTTAATTTCAATCGTACTCATTCAATTCACATTCTTACGTAACTAGTTTAAAATATAAGTGATTATGTAATGTTGTTCTGGTTTTGATTACAAATACATTATGCTTTTAATAAATTTAAATCATAATCTGATTAAGCAGTATAATGAGTTATTTATTATATAGAAACCCGAGCTTCCAATTATGGAGGACTTTGGGGAAACTCATGAAGTCAAATGACCTTCACCAACGTTTGGGGTAATTTTGGCGAAATCCCCAAAGCCAAATGACCTTGACCAAGGTTAAAGGGGGAATTTTGTGCCAAATTTTCCCCAAAGTTGGGAGCCCTGGAATGTTCTGTTCTTCTTTTATTGGAAATAGATAGATTACAGAAAAAGAAATCATTGACTTACTCAGTTGCATTTAACAGTAACAAAGTAGCTAATGCAAATAATAAGATGAGTTTCATTATTGAAATGTGAATAAAGCTTGTTGGATATATATATATATATATCAGGCAGTTATAATCATACATTTGTATGTAAACATTCAACATCACGAATTCATTTCAATATTGAATTATCATGAAAAAAAAGTACAAACTGTTTATATTTATGATACCATTGATGTTGTTACTCTATTGTAGTGAATATATGAACGTCATACTTGGATCTGTTTTAGACAATCTGAAAATTTTATTCTAAATAAGTCATAATAACAAAGATACCTTTCAAAAACTTACATTGTCTAGTTTACATTATCAACAAATTATAAGGATAAAATTTTTAGTGTAATTAAACAGAATTTATTGACTTAATATTGAATATGATAGATGAAAGGAATAGTTTAGAAGTCAGTCAATTAATCTTAATGTTCGAAACAAAACAAGTTTACAATTTCGGGAGAACTTATCCAGGCGCATGATCTTATCAGTACTGCAACTAGTTTGGTTAATACTCAAAGTAATTAAAGGATTACAGGATATTACTAATTAGATGTACAAATGATTGAGTTAAAAACCTGTAGCTTTATTGTGGATATTAGGCTACTTAATTTTGCAATTCTTAAAAACGCACATACTAATCACAAGCTTGTTTTGAAGCAACACACGTGATCTGCAAACCTTACGCGTATATGGTAGGATAGAACTGGATTACATTAATGGCGATTATATATCTGGATGCTCCATTGTACTAACGTTTATATGTTCAAATAAAAGTAAATATGTCGAAAACAATACTGGCAGTCCACATTGAGTACAAGGCGATAGATCACAGCGAAGAACATGGACTTGTAATACCTACCGCCTCGACAGATACGCAATTATTGTAGTTGCGCCAAACAACAGTCGGTTGTTTATAAAATCCTGTTATAGTAGGGAAGTGTAAACAAGGTAATTGATAATTCTGTTGCTGACACTGCGCTACAGTCTAAATCTTACCATGCCCGATTCCTACAAAACAGTATAGAGAAATGAGCACCCGTACTAGTGTCTTTACGCTAATGTGAACACAAAACACACAGCCTAACCATACAGTTAAAACACAAAGACAAATCACAATGTGGTGGTCCTAAATAGGACCGTGATACGTTCTCGTGTGGACCAGTTGCAGGTCGCTAATTGTTCACATGCTAGTGAATTAACCACCGAAACCGTACAAAGTACGACCTTGGCGTTTCAAAGCGTACACCACGTCCATAGCTGTCACTGTCTTCCTCTTGGCGTGCTCTGTGTAGGTGACTGCATCACGGATCACGTTCTCCAGAAACACCTTCAGAACGCCACGAGTCTCCTCATAGATCAATCCTGAAATGCGTTTCACACCACCACGACGAGCCAGACGACGGATTGCAGGTTTTGTAATACCCTGGATGTTGTCACGCAACACCTTGCGATGTCTCTTGGCTCCTCCTTTGCCCAAACCCTTACCACCTTTACCACGACCAGACATGATTCACAGAGATAGATACACTGACTTGCAGACCGACACGAGACGATCCTACTTTGGCCACGTAGCTCTGCCTAGTCCACTTGAATCCTTAGAAAAATAAGCCATTATTCAACCAATCACATTTCTCGCACTGATAAGTTAGGTCAACAATGTGATCAAGGCCATATGACGCTAAGCCATAAGCCATAGGGATATAGGTCTTTTATTAACCAATAAGAAATTGCCGAGTTCGTGATAATGCTTTGACGTGATATGCTTTGCTCGCCCTATCGATAATACTTTGCAGTTGTTTACTGTTATTCAGTAAGTATTGATTAAGTTGGTCGTACTCCTCAAAAAATGTGATACGGATGTGTGATTAGAAGTAAATTATGTACATAAATTATTCAGTTCCGTGCTAGATTCACACTTATATGATGTATCTGGTTGAACTATCGATTTCATTTTTCGATTCTGAGATTATCTTAATCTAAGGCCTATGTTATTATTGACTTATGCCTGTTGAATTTCTTACTGAATTTAAGTGCATTGTGTGCGTCTATTGGATCGTCGATTCCCTTCTTCTTTTATCCTTTTGTACTCCACCTTTCTCACACTATTCATTCTCCTGCGGTATACGAAGTACCCTCTGGCAGAACTTGAACGGTTACAATCATATTTAGTGTATATTCTTGATGAAAACCTCAAAAATCACTATAGTTATTATGAGCGAACTCATCACGAGTTCGCTATTCATGTTAAAGCTATCGAGTATAGCCATTATATTTAACTGCATTGTAAATAGTTTAGAGGCAATGAACTTTAACTTGTTTGCTACAAAATGATCCAAGTACTTCCGTATACTTAACTTTAGTCTCGAGTTGTATTTGTATTTTTTTATCATCACAAATCATTGTTGGCTAAATAGTAACACTAAGTCTCGTACATACCTTATACTTGCTGAAAATTTTGCATGTGAACGTTTGGGAACATTATGACCTACGTTTGTACACTATAATTTATCAGAAACTGTTGCTATTTGTAATTATTACCTATTAAAGATTTAACTCAGGTAGCCACCAAACTGATATCTAACATGAGGTCATCTGTCGAAGCTTAACATCGGTTCGCAAACATGATAGAATTAAATTTATGATTGTTCATTCCCGTCTGAACTGGTACCTTTAAATGTGCATTAGAATTTCCTCACTGTACGAATTATTCATTTATTATAATAAATATTTCTATTGATATTATTTCAGTCTTCTATTTGTCGTCGTAAATAATCAGATTTTCAGATGTGAAAAGTGTTTAAGAGAAAGGCTACTTGTATTACGTTTATTAATCTGACGATGTCAGTTTGTTCGATGAAAAAAAGTACCGAAAGCAGTATTAAACGATAAGTGCGTTATGAGCAGAAGCTAATTCTCCTCTGTAGCAATTAGTTAACAATTAAGCTTTGATAATGACAAAAATTGTTAGGAAACAGAATTTCTTTCCAGATCATCAATGTTAACTAATGGAATATTCTGAAGTTATTATTAGTTCAAAACCCAGAATCAGCTGATATTTTTGGATTTCATTTTGGCAAGTCAGAGCACTTTTCCGAAGTCAGTGGGAATTATCCGTAAAAATCCTGCACCTGCAAAAAGCTTAAGCATAATAGATAGTTTGGGACTTGTTATCTGTGATTCACAGCATTTTCTTAAATTACATGAAAATGCTAGGTAAATTATTGATCGTCTTGAGAAAAACCCCATGCTCATTTTCACCTAAGATGGAAGGTAATTTACAATCAGTTGTATATCATCAAATCCATCAGAATTTAGTGGGAACATTGACCATCGGCTGACATTGTTCTAAGTACACTTTATCCATAGTCTTTTATGTTAGTAGCCGTAGCTACAACCTACCAATGGTATTTCCATACCATTGTAGGAGTGAATTAATAGTGGTGCTTCGAAATTGTCCCATGGTTTGTTGACAATTTTTGTAACAACGCAACCTCCTTGAACATGATGTGTACTAATACTGACCGAGAACATACAGGGAGGCATATATGTGTTCTAGCTCTCTATCTTGATATGTCTGTCCTTAAAGTCAACACATTTTCACCCATAAATAGTTTGTACTAAGTAATCAGTCGCCAAAAATCAATTTAGAGCTTGATGCACTTGTGTCAAGCCCAAGTTATTATACCGTATAGTTAGCGTGAAATTTACGTCGATGTCGATGAGAATTTCAGATATCATAATAACAAATATGAAAATTCAGCCGCCTATACGTTTACATCCAGAGTGTGGCTGGACGTTTGGAAAGGTTTTATGGCAAAAGATCCAACGAGGACGCCGAACTGTTGTAACAATATCCCAATTAGAAGTAACCAACTTCTCATAATTTATTAAGAAAACCGAACGCATTATAATTTTATTTCCAGTTCCGATATCTCTTGGTTTTCTGAATCACGAGAGTCCTTCAAAAACAATTCAATAATCAGGAAGATTTCAGCTAGAATACATGAAACTTACGAGCATGAAGGGATGTTCTACTATTAGACAGTAGAATATATTTCTCCATTTGTTGTGTCTGAGTGATTACCCTCAATAGGCATATAGGCTTTCTGTTCTGATTAGTTATTAGTCTGTACACTTCACTGTAGTCAATGAATCACGAAGTTGCAATCACACCGAGGTACTTAATGCAGTAGACGGTTGTCAGAAAACTTTTAGTCTTACATCACTTTGGACGCCTGTATACTTAGCACTAGTTTCTAATACTGAAATACATTGGGTCCACTTACGCTATCGAACCACTCAACTTTGGAGGCAATATTACTAATTTTGGGAGATTCTGGAAAAGTTGCGAACGAAAACCGCAAAATTTTGGGGAAATCCCCTAAATCTGAAACTAGGGTTTCACCCCAATATTTTCACACAATTTATACCCAAGTTACATAGAAATTGGAGAAGTAAAATCAACTCATTAAGAAATCTTCGAAACTTATTTTGGGTGAGACCTTAGGATTGCCACTGAGTTTGAGGAAATCTCGTAATATTCATTTTGAAGTTCCCGGATTTTCCACACACCACGGAGAAATTCCCCCAATTCTAACTGGGAAGACATGCCTCCCCTCCTTATTCGCAAATGAAGTCTCATCTTTTCGCAAGATTATTCGTTTTTTATTTGCCTCAGGAAAATAAATGGCACAGACCTTTCTACGTAATACCATTAGCATACCTGGCTTGAAAAATTGCTTGACAATTAAATAACTAAATCGTTCCTAAAAGATAATAGCTAGACCCATAACGAAGGCTCGTTCACAATATCAATGTATTGTCAAATTTTAAACACTTGGTAAATCTAAAATTACATTTTTAATTAAAATACTGACGCGTTATTAATGAAAATACATATATCTGAATCGAATCGTTTTTATACTAATATCTTTTGGAAATAAGTTTTGCCTGATTTCCTAGCTTTTATCCGAGCTTACACGTAGATGTACCAACTATTGTTGTTTACCTATTGTACTCGTTTTTTTCCTTGGCTTACCAAGGCTCACGCA